TGGTTAGACAGAACGCGCTAAATGTGTGGTGGAAGAGATGTTTTTGAGGTGCATCCAAATTTGTTACGAATCAGAATATATTATTGCTAATGGTGTTATTCCCCTTTTAATTGATCGGTGCATGCGTCGACGACGCATACGCCGTCATTTGTGAATGGCTTGTTCCATCCGCGTCTTCCTACTTTGTTTAAGTAGGAACCGATTCCGAGGGGGTCCCTCTAGCCAACATTAAACTGTATTTCACTCATACAGCACCGACCGTGTGGTGATCACGGTAAATGCCAATGTCGATCAAATCGACTTCGGTGAGGAAAGGGAAAAGTAAAAGAGAGAATGCTCTTACACAACACGATAATGATATAATCAGCATCACGCCTAGTTCGTTCAAAGGTCGCACTCACAAAGGCAACAAGTGATCTTGCTCCAGTACACTCCAAGAGCACTGTAGCAAACGTCAGCATATTAACATATTTTTTAAATTGCAAAACGGTTGTCCGTTTTGCACTAGAGTGTATAGCATTTAAATTTACTACGACAAAAACGAATCGCTGACAAAAATGTAACGGCAAATGGTAATTTTTTAGTGGGGGTGATTCTCTAATACTAGCTACCGTAAACCTTCTTTGACACATAGTGACTAACATGGGTATTAGCAAGTTACCACCCAAGTTCATTGGTTCATTGCGTATTCTGCTCCGCATAGGCATCTTTTACGCGATTGAACAGCTGATAAGATGCGCTTGTATCCTACGTTCTACGTCGGCTGTGTTAGGCAGTACTTTCGTTGAGGGGCTTGTTCATGTAAAGAAATTCCTTGGGCTCAAGTATCTCCAAAATGTACTTGTGTTTGTGGTGCTGACTCTCATCCCACTTCTGAAATCGAATATTCCCCAGCAAAGCCGAAAATTAAATTGACGAGCTATCTTAGATTGTCGATAAGAGAACCCTGTACCATTCTTTCACAATTTGGCAAAGTAAATCTCTGCCCTATATTTCTCCATATCTGAGCTCAGACAGTTTACATCGCCGAGCACCTCCAGACGCGATGTCCTCTTGTAGTTTAATTTTCGTGCAGCTCTCACATTACGCAATACAATTTGACTTATAGCATCATGTTGATGCTGTAAACATGTCAGATGACAAGTTTTCTCCTCCGCCTACTCGATTGTTTTACTCGTGCGGTGTCTAGTAATTTTTCTTGGAACGTCTGTTGAGCTCATTCTATGCAAAACGACGTCAGATGAATTAAGTACTCCGGTGGCGCGGCTCTTTGCCTTCAGCATATATCGGGGAGCCTCAATGACAACTGATGGTGGATGTGTTGACACTTGTTGAGCAGTTTGACAAGGTACGTCCAATACCGGAGAATATCCAGCGGAAAACGAAGACCCAGCGCGTTTGCAGAGGAAATTTACGCCCTCAAACATCCTCTACAGGGGTTCGTTCATGTAGTACGCTTCCTTAGGAGCTTGTTTCAAGGGGTTCAAACAACATTTGCAATGATCACTTCAGTAGAGGCATGAAAGCCTAGCATTTCATGGCAAGCGATGCAGTTTGTAGCGTGCAACAATAGCATTCGCCTCTGTTCCGCGACAGATAAAGTTCGTCAAGCCGAAAATGACGTCGTATGCACCCGATTTGGTGGACAGCCTCGTTTTATGTCTGTACCGCCGAGGGTACACCACGTTTTTGGTTCCGCTGTACCATCAATTGAGAACTCATCGATGAATACATTCTGTTTGGTAAGCATTTTCACTGCACTATGATCAAGGCCGTTAAGCTTTGTGAAAAACAATATTGTACTATAACGATCACTGATCGTTTCCAATTAGCTATCTAACACTATCTGAGAAAAAACACGCTAATTCCTCATATGCCACACGCAAGATGTCACACGCAAGATGCCACACTCCTTAGCTTCTTGACTGAATTCAATACAAGTACTGACACCATGATTATCACGATCACCTCGATCTTCATATAATTTACATTCCCGTCGTGATTATTATAGTAAATTGCTTTACATCCTCGCTCAATGTCAAGCGAGCTTCTCCGTCTCTTCACACGACTCGAAGATGTCATGACGCTCAGCGAGAAATATGGCGCTTTAAAGGCCAAATTTGTTGGCTTTAGTTTAGCAACTTCTGGCTTATACGTGGCATTTTCAGCCGTCTTCTAGTCGGCGTCGCTATCCGAGTTGACGGACTATTTGATCTTAATCTCATTATATTTGATATTACGTGGTGCATCACCGCGTGAGCTTAAAGCAGCAACTGCTGCAGTCAGGTGGTCGGTATCAGCAGGCGAGTTGTCGCCTGATTCTTGAAATGTCTTGGAATCGCCTGCAGCTTGCGATGTCTGGGAATTTCCTGCTGATGCTGCACTAAGTCCAGTAACCGCACTCTCGACAGCTCTCGACGCACACCGCATAAACTCTTTAACTACGCGATTAGAACTGTGATTGGATGCGTTAAAAAAGTAAGTGCGACCCTCCCTGGAGTCACTAAACAGGGTCCTCTGTCGTCAACATGTCATTGACATAACTGACGCTTAAGGGTGGGGTGATGCAATGGAATTAGTCCGTTTCATCACCCCCCCTTTGCCTGGGACATACAATAGGGTGCCCTCCACGACAAGGGATTCCACACCGCACCACTAGATATTACGTAAGGTGCCGTGTCACTATCAGTGGACTGTGCGATTAAATTACTCACCGAAAAAATAGACACGGGGTGCGACATTTCAAAATTTGCAATATCTGTCCAACTGTGACACGCTTACCGCTTGTTATATAACGCAGTTTAGTAAAAAGAAGCTAAATGATTGTTAAAAGTTAAGGCTTTATAGTTCTTTAGGCAAGTGCTGCTAGGAGTGAATCTAGTGCAGGTGATGACTTGGATTGTGCAGGTTTTGGAGAGAGATTTGGAGTGTTTTCAATTTTGAAATGGTTGGCCAAGAATATGAAGTTTTTTCAATAATAGAGGTAATTAAAGCCGTGAAGGGGAAGGCATGTAGAACGAATGCACTTAAATATTAATGTAGCACGGGATGAAATAGCTTAGTGGGGATGCTAAAATTGACATATAATAGAGTTGTGAGGTGAGTACGCAAAAATCGCAATTTTGCTTGAAAATAGAGATGTAGATCGAAAAGGAGTGGAGTGGCTTGATTGGGATACTCTGGCGGGGACTGGGTCTCCGGCTCGTTTGAGGTCTTGGTCGCTTGGCGGTTGTTCCTCGCAGAGTCCAAATAGAAAAGGGTAAATACAAACAGGGAATCGCTAAATTCAAACCCCTTTTCCTTAGATTCACACCGTTCCTTTAAAATCTTATATATACAAGGTACGCTATCGCCGTTGGTTAAAGACGCGTACTTTCTCTGCCACTTGGCTACGGGCGCATATTGCGCGCTGCTGTAGCTGCTGGCACCGAAATAGGCAAAAAGGTCAAAGCCGCAATGGAGTCGGGCGCACTTGTGACCGACGAGATTGTCGTCGGTATCATTAAGGACGCCATCAAGAGTTCGGAATGCCGTTGTGGCTTTATTCTTGACGACTTTCCACGAATGGTCGTGCAGGCCAAAAAGGTGAGAACATGAGAAGATACAGACGAGGGTCCAGGTTGCAACGCAGCGGCTGAACAGAGTTGCCTCTTTTTGTATGTGGTGCTGTGTATCTCGACGAGATGTTGACGAAGGAAAAACCTCGGTGGATGCTGTGGTGATTATTGATGTGCCGGACAAAGTGCTGGTTGAACGCATTGCAGGTCAACGCGTGCACTTGACTAGTGGCCGCAGTAATCATGTCAAGTGAGTAATATCTTAGGTATTTCTTACGTATTACTTGCCAATTAATGGCCTAAAATATCGAGTAATACATTTGAAGAAAACAAATCTTTAAATGAACTGGGATTTTATTTATAAGATTTTGAAGGAAGGTTGTGAATCTAAGGAAAAGAGGTGTGAATTTAGCAATTTACTACAAATAATAAGGGAAAATCAATTCACAAAAAAATGATTTAGCACTTGAATCATCTAAAAAATTGTTACGGGTGGTTTAACAGCATAATAGTTACGCAACACTAGACTCACGTAATTACATGCCAAATAGTCCCCGGCAAGGTAAGCTAGGACATTCTTTAGTTACCAATAAAACAGTCAAAATCTTTGGTAAAGGGTGAAGAGTAGCCAACGGGTAAGGTCGCGGGTAGAATGATACTATATCTAATCTGATGACCCAATTAACCAGCATTACAGGTAAATAGATCTATAGTCTTACATTAGTGCTTTTTTGCACCACATCGGGAGTTGCTAGTTGCCCATAGCCACGAAGTTCGATAAGGAGTGCGTCACACAGTTCCGATGAGCTCTGACATCTCAAAGTACAGAAATATCTCCATGAAAAGTCAAAACCCACATCTTCATGCGCGAATACATTCCAAAGCCTATATATGTGGAAAGCTTAAGCGACGATGGCGATGACCAACACCGCCGACATCCAGACCCGCGGCGTCGATTACATAGAGCCGAACTCTAGCACTGTCCTTGTCCAGAAGCATCGCCGACGGCGGCGGCTTATACGTCCAGGCAGTGCATCCGTTCACATTCGAACGAAGCGAAAGAGGCAGACGACCCCCTAGGAGTGTGTGCACGATTGGGATGACGGCGAAAGCTCCATGTAAAATGACAAGCATCAGTGTAAACGATGTCGCAAGTGATACTAGGGGTTTACTATTGCGTCTGGCTAAATCGCAATCGAAGACCGCACATGACATTAACGTCAGCGTCAACGCGTTTTATATACCTTCCTGCAGCGGCACTGTTATGTAGCAGTGTACACTCAGGCAATTTAGTAGCGTGCTCCAGGAGACTGTTCTGTGGTAGCAAAGAACGCCATTGCTGATTTTGTCGTCAAAGGCGTCACATTGCCCGCGTTAGCGGTGACCTTTTTTAAGAAGTTCGTCCGTTTGCTGACGAACATCTATGCATCGCCATCCACTTGGATGATCATGAGACGAATCTCCAAGCTGCACCGCATTCTGAAGCCAGCGCTTAAATACTTTCTTAGCAAAATGCTGGTCACCATATCACTGACGCTAGGCAACTGGTCGTACCGCAACCTGAATGTAATCTATGTTGTCACCGCGCGCAAACTTGATGTCGCCTTGATCACTACAGAAATTGTACACGTAACGATCCTCGACGTCAAGTGCGTGACTAGCGTCTACCAGCGCGTTGGGACGGCCCTGATCTACTCCCTGAAGCACTTGGACAGGGATGTCGTGACGCGCCTGTTTAACGTCGTTTGAAATAATGATCCAACGCTACGGCTGCTGTCATCCGGGTATTCCTACTGATCAACACTCATCGGGTAAGATCAGATGCGCAAGCCGAAACACGTCCATTGCAACAACCGATTTTTCCAGCTCGCTCTGTACAAGGTTCTGAAGATCATCGAGGTGCCCACCGAGGCGCTGCGGGAAGCGCTGGCTGAAATCGGAAGCAGCAAGGTCATGCGGTAGAAATTTTGAATTCAATCCACGGCATCTGGACTTGCCAGCCACGAGCAAATGCAAGGACTCGCCGACGTGCTAGAATCGTTGCATATATGTTTGGACGCTGATCAAAAGCGGGTAGTTTTAAACAGCATCATGATGCAATTTAGGGACGAAGTTGGTCGCGGCCCTGATAATGGTGATGAATGAAAGACCAATAATGGCGTGTTGATGTTCCTACGCGCTGTAAGCTAGGTCATAGGGCGCTTCACGCCGATCACAAGCCAACTATCGGCCTTGTGACGATTTCTCTTTCTTTTCTCGTCAAGAGCTGCAAAGACAGCTAAAAAGAGTTGCTTGGTGTTAAGGATAACTTGACGACGGTCTAAATGATGTAGAAGCTCTACTAGTACAAGAGCAAGCTGGTACAAGGACTGGCGATTATAGCAGCGTTCCTGGACATCTAAGTCCCAAAGCCGACGGACTCCGTGGAGCACAAGCGTGTGATGGATTGTATTAGCAGCACGCTTCAACGCCGCTATTCCTCCTATTTAAATCGAGCCCGATAATCGAACGGAATCCGGGTGCAGTTCGCTATTCGAATTGATGTTTCAGGCTGTTCGCAATGACAGGTTCCGCGGGCGATGATATCGGCAAATGCTTATCGATCAGCGCCGTCAAGTCTTCAGGGTTTATCGACGTATTGTATTATTGGTCAGCCCGGGAAGGCTCGCCGCTAGCCCTTTATTAAATTACGATAGAATAATGCGGGAAGCCGGTGACACCAGCATCATCTGATCGCGTCAAGAGCGCCGCCGGGCACGAATTTGCGTGCATTCGACAGTACTTTTCGTCATCTGTGTTTATCATGACCATTTTCCTGCGCTCATGGATGGGTGCCGGTATCCTCAAGGTGCAGGCGGGTCATACACAAGCTGCAGACTCAGTCGTACAGTGGGTGCCAATGACGTGCGTTCGTTGTCCAGCATCTCGAGATAGAGCAAACAAATTGGGACGGGAGATCCTTGACGATGAAATTGTAATTTTCCCCACGAACAATTAGCCGATATGGCATGGAGACTTAATGTGAGCTCTGTTAAATTACCGCAAGATTGCATTGCGCTCGCTTTGCCATATGGCGTACACATCTTGATCCTGCGCCATTCTAACCAGCCAATCTATTTTGATAGGCCGGCAATGTCGTCATATTATCAATACAGCTGCAACATTACGAGTTTCGTTAATTATTCAAACACTTGTTTACCGGGTAATTCCCCAGGTAAAGGGGTAGAGCAAGGTACATGTAAAAGCAACCACGTATCATACGGGTAAAGATAGTGGTAAGATCACGTAGAACAAAAACTATCACCCGGAAACTTCTTACCTCACCTTACACATTTTAGTATTAAAATACACAAAAGAGCTGAAATGAACCTTTCAATTAGCTGCTTAATACGGCGGCATGTAACAAGGCACCAACACATATGCCGTTTCAGTCAATGTTCTCCTCGACACCTAGTGCCGCCGATTATGCCACCCAGACTAAAACTGCTGAAATTCACCTTTACTCGAAAACAACGAGGCCAACTGTAACGGGGTGAATTGTTACATAACAATTTATAAGAAATTGTTAATAGAATATAACTATAAGAGTTATATTCTTAGAATATTATCATAAGGACAAATATTCTGTACCACTTACGAGTAGTTCCTAATTGGTTGATATAGGCCATTATATCAACCAACGAAGACGCGCGCCACGACAGACGCACGCAATGAGTGGTGAGCAGATAGTTGACATACACATTTGTATTTAGACATAGTTAGATGAGGATAAATAGTGATTTATTGCAGACATTAACTATTACTAAATACAGTTCTACTTTTTACTTTAACCAAGTACTCGCTTCTTCTTACCGTCTTCCTCTGCACGTACGAGTGTACGTGAAGTTACAAGGCACCGCCTTATTCTGACATCAGAATAAGTAGCTTGTACTGTCACCAGTACAAGCTTCAGGGTGCCCCGTTACACCAACTCTTAATGTGCTCGTTAAATATCGAGCAATACACAAATGACCAATCTGTTACAGTATTTAGCTGCAAAAATGTATGCTAACGTCTTGCTTACCACTCATTGCGCGCGTCCAACGTTTATTGGACCGCTAGATCTGGCTGATGCGATGGCCTATATCAGCCGATCGGTCAGTGCTTCAGAATATCACCTCTTATAAAACATTCGTAAAGATTATCAACCTGTTCGGTAATGTTCTATACAACATTTTCAAGGTTAATTACATGCAACAGGCTAACTCCGTTACTATGGCAGTCCTGATGAGTTAACGATCTGGCCATTCGAGGCTCTAGAATGTTGTCTCCGTCCGTCATCATTTCTTAGGCTGCAGCACGACAGTGACGAATCGACCAAGAAGCTGGCAAGTATCACCGAGCACGTTAGAAAGCAGCGCTCGATGTGAAAGACTCAGTGTACTACGGGTGATTTTTTCAGAATGGGTTCAGATTGACTCTCCATGTATTAGAGAGTTTTATATAAGGAACAGGGCAAACGCGCCACCCATTTTGGTCCGCTACATGGTGAGACGACTGTACTTGATTCTGTGATGCCATACGTACAGTATTCGCCTTGGTATTTTCATTAGAGGTATCGGTTATTATGTTTTAATCTTGTGGTAATCTAAAGTTTTCCCTCATATCGAGTGGCACCTACATGTATTTCCCGCAACATTTGGTCTATTTCCTAATTTTCCCTTGCCACGATAACAATTCACTGTAATCTCATGTGCCGATCATCTCCGCGCGCATTGTCGAACCAAATTGACGTACCACCGACATTTTATAAATATCCATTTCCAAAAAGTCAAAGCTCGTTTAAACCAGTTAAAACAAGAAGAAAACCCCAAACGGCAGGCGCCTCAACGACCAGCATCGACACTGTGGCGACCATCGCCATGGCAAAGCGACGCAACGAGAACGGACAGATGCGCCGCGAGGAGTACGAAGCTGCAGAAGACGGAGCAAGCGCCGACTCCTTTGACGTCGGCTTCCAGCGCGCGAGCGAGGAATCGATCCGCAAGCGCAAGATCGTTAAAGCGCGCGGGGGGAGTCGCCCGTCTGCAGCAGCTACTGCCAGGGCGTGTGAAGCGGAAAAAGACACGGTCAAGAGCAATGCGTTTGGAGGTTTCCAGGTGTGAGAGTTTGTATGCTGCCAGATGATTGGTTGACTCTGATGTTCTGATTCTGATTCTTTGTCGTCGATGTGGGGTCATGCAGGGACTCACGACTGCCAAATCGGCTGTTGCCAACCCGTTTGCGGGGTTCTCTGGTCTAAGTGGAACGTCGTCTACACAGACTACGTTACGGACTGGTGGAGCTTGCAGTCGCGGTCAAGCTGCGGCGTCTTCGGGTTCACACCAGCAGGCAATGGAGAAACTCAATAAGGCTTTCCTGGGGTTTGTTAATGGTCAAGTCGAGACTCACGCAAGTGTCAGTTGGGTGGATGCTGTTCAGGTGGGATGCAGTAGGCTTTTAGATTTACTCAAAGAGAAGTGGAGATTGACATGTGGACTGGATCATGGCGTTTGCAGGATTACTTGAAGTATGCGGCTGAGATTGATACAAAGCACGCGACGACAAAGCCTGGCGCTGTTTCGGAGGCTAAGCATGCATCCACACCCGCACCCTTTTCGTTTGGTTTAACGGCACCTTCTGCCATGAGCGCACAGCCTGCCGCGTCTACATCGAGCGCGTCGCTTCCCTTTGGTGAGAGTAGCGCTGCTGCTACTAAGAAGGACGACTCGACGAAAGCTCTGACAAGTACTGGGTTCGCGTTCGGCGGTGCCATCACGAAGGAGGACAAACCTGCGGTGTCGATACCGAAGGAGGTTTCGAGTAGTAGTGGTGGCAGCAGCTCTCTTTTTTCTGCCCAGTCTTCAGCTAGAGAGGAGAAGACCACTCCTGCGTTCTCGTTCGGAGCATTGACCAAGCCAGCGGTCCCTGTAGCCTCATCTACTCCTGCCACGGGTGGATTCGTATTCGGCAACGTGACTGGTGCCACAAGCGCTGCGTCTGTCTCGAGTGGTGGATTAAGCTTCGGACTGTCAGCCCCAGCAGCTTCAACGTCTACTTCTGCAACCGTGGAAGAAGAAAACGAGGAAAACATAGGACGTGAGGAGGCTACGGTCATTATCAAGGTATGTAGAGGTCCTCCACGGTTGTCTCTTGGCAGTTTGCCATCCATCAGGCTACTTAACAATGTGTGGCTGCATGGGCATCTGTTTGACATAGGCTGACTCTCCTGACGATGATTGCACGTTCGAAGCTGACAAGGCGAAAATCTTCGAGTTTAAGAAGGACGAGAAACGCTGGGCAGACAAAGGCGTGCACCCTCTCAAGGTGCTCGTCAGCAAGGACTCAAAGAGTGCGCGAATACTGGCCCGCAGCGCGATTGGCAAAGTCGTGCTGAACTCGGCGCTGTACAAGGGCATGTCTGTACAGCCGCATACGGAGACGACGGGAAAGAAGACGGGAGTGTCGCTGGCGCTGCAGGGTGACAGCAGCGACCTGACGCGATTTTTGATCAAGGTGAATGCCGCGCGTGTCGATGAACTAGTCAAGGCTCTCGAGGTAGCAGTGGCGTCGCTGTAGTGCGTCTTGTAGACGTCCAAACGTAGCGATGCAGTGAACTCGAGGAGCTTAAGATGTGCCTCCAGCGTTCATCGTCCGTCTACTTCTTGTCGCTATCATATATCACAGTTCGAGCTCGCAGCAGTCAAGCCGTAGGCCTCGTGTACCATGTATGACAGACTGACTGATGATGTCCGTGCAACCTCTTCACTGCTGCAACCTTCGCGTCCACCTCCCGCGTTCAAACCACCACCCACCAGTCAAGCTGCAGTCATAATTCCCTTCGTGGTCACGGGCGCCGAGCAGCACGAGATGGCGACGACGGCAGACGAGGGCGACGCGCTGCCACCGTCTTCGCAAAAGGGCGACTACCTCAAGCTCTTCTGGACGCTGGCAGAGAGCGACCGCGACGTGCGCACGCAGGCAGCCGCGCAGTTGCTCGCGCACTTGAAGCTCAGTCCCAAGCAAGACACTGAGGTTCAGTATACGCTGAAGCGACTGGTGCGCGGCCTGGCGTCGTCACGCGATGCTGCTCGTCAGGGCTTCAGCTCGGCGCTTAGCAGTCTTTTGACTGCTTTTCCACAGCTCCTGAAGCTCCAGGAGACCCACGAGCTGCTGCGTGAGGCCATGGAGATGCACTCGTCCATGAAGCCCATGGAGCAGCGCGAGCACATGTTTGGCCGTCTCTTTGGTCTCTTGGCTCTGCACCGATCGGGTCGACTGAAGACCGACTTGCCGTTGCTCGTGACGGTAGTCAAGGAGCTGCTGGACATGGCGGGGTTCAAGCGCTGGTTTCGTGAGACGTGCTACGAAGCAGCGCTGACGCTGCTAGTGGATGTACCAGTGGAGCTTTTCTTGGCTGACCTGGCTGCCACGGTCCATAGTTTACTGCAGATTCAAGGGTCTAAGGACAGCAACGACCAAGGCGCGGAAGCTTGGAATGCTGACCAGGTGTTACTTGCAGTTGGAGTGCAGCGATATCTGCTTGAGCAAGGCATTGAGCAAGATACGAAACTGGTGAAGCAATTGCCCGATGATTTTGCAGCGAGGAACACATTGCAGCGTCATAACGTGCACTTGCTCGCTCGCCCACTGCGAGCATCGTCGGGGTGCTATCCACGTGTGCACTCGGCTTGGTTTGGAGTTTTTGGTCATGTGCTTCATCTGGCAGAGGGACGATCGGCTAAGCTTGATAGCGAGCTGCTACAGGAAACTTGGACTGTGCTGGTGGAAAACTCGCTGGTGGGTGGCGCCAACCCCGATGAGAGTGGTCCTACCAGTCACGAACGTCAGGGTCTAGCGCTGAAGTTGTTTGAGCTTGTGGCTCCCAAGCTACCGGCATCGAGTGTACAATCTATTCTCACTCCGCGCTTTGTCAAGTGCTTATACACGAATGCTGTTACGAAGAAGAACTACCTTCATGAAGCTGCTCGGCACTGTTTGAAGTCGTTTGCAGCCTGTGCACCTGCCGAGTTCTTCCGCTTTTTCCGCCAACAGTTTATGTCGCCTCTTTCTATCCTCGTGACACCAGCTTCAGCTGATAGCGGCGAGGAAAACGAAAAACCAAGCAAGAAGCAGAAATTGAACGCGGGAGGCTTTAATGCACTTATTGAGCTCGAAGAGAAGAAGGAGCGTGAAGACACAATGAAACGACGAACAGATCGTGCACGGGTATGGACTGTGGAAGTTATGGTAGCTGCGCTTTCTGAAATGCTGAGTGCAAAGACCGAATCGGACGTTGAAACGGAGAAGTTGCAAGACGATGTGCTCCGTTTCCTGGTGTTCCATTCATTCTTCACGTCGTCAGGTGATGCTGGATCTGGATCTATCACAAAGGGCAAGAAGAACAAAGTGTCAAAGAAGACCAAGGCGACAGAGGTTGAACAAGTGGTGCACGAGGCGGCTGCGGCAAACCCTGCCCTCTCGGAGAACGTGGCCAGTTATGCTAAGACCCGTTTGTTTTCGATGTTGAGTCTGGGCCTTGCAGGGGTCGATGGTGTCCGTGCGCATACCAGTGTACTGAGCCGTGTTTTCGCCATTGCAAAAAGTATGAAAAACGATGATACGGTTGGGTCTCTGCGAGAGCCTCTTGATGAAGAGGATGCAGCACAATTTCGTAAGCTAGTTGGTCACGTCGAGAGTTTGTGGAGCAAGGAAGAGGACGAAGAGAAGAAGTCACGGAAGTCACAGAAGACAGCAACTCGCAGACCCTTGAGCGAGGCGTTCCTCCTGCTGCTCATGAGTGCTGGACTACAGCTGTTGGACGGCGAGCAGCGCGAAGACGCCGTTGTCGTGGTCGCTGACCTGGAAAAGTGTTTTGTCCAGCTCGTTGCACGCAAGCAGAAGAGTGTTGCCACGAAAAAGAAGAACAAGACGAAGGAGCAAAACGAGGGTGATCAAACAGAAGAGGAGTCAATTGTTGTGCTCACGGATTTGTTGCTGAGTCTGCTATCGCAAGACTCGAGCGCGTTGCGTGAAATCGTGTCGCAAGTATTCCGTTCGCTGCTGCCACTGCTCGATGGCGCTTGTCTGACCACAATGGTTAATGTGCTTGAGCCATCAGCAGAAGCCGAAGATGATGATGATGACGACGAGGAGGGTAAAGGGTTTGCTTCGAATCCGCTTGGCGACGATGAAGAGGAAGACGGCGAGGAAGGTGATGAGGAAGCAGAGTTGTCTTCGGCAGACGCTTTGTCCGACGCATTTCGCAGGGACGAGAAGCTCGCGTCGCTGTATCGAGAGGACCTGGCGATCGCTGCCATTGTGGGTCAGGTCAAGGTTCGTTCGCAGCGCAAGAAAGACCTCAAGCGTGCTCGCTTGCAGACGATGCACTTCCAGCTGCGTGTTGTGGATCTGCTGCAAGTGTTTGTCTCGCAGCGTTCGGAGCAAGGCGAGGCAACTTTTGCAAAGCACAGTGCGTTAGTGCTGTCTTTAGTGGCTCCGCTGTTTCGTGTGTTGATTCGCGTGCAAAGCGCTGCGAGCGAGACAGAGGTGCTTCGAGATCGCGTGCAAGCTGTGCTGCTTCACAAGGTCCTTCGTGTCAAAGACAAGATTCCGTTTGGCGAAGCTGCTCAGACTGAAGCATTGGGCGCTCTTCGTCAGATCGTTGAATTGATTCGCACTTCACCTATGGACAAGGATCACTCTGGTAAGGTGGCAGCGGCCGCTGTTGTGTACCTCGTCCGCGTAATTTGCTCTCATGAAGCTTCGAATGAGGAGGAAGTACAGACGATCATGCGTGAGTCCGTCTTCGATGCCTTTACCAAGAAGCACTCCCGTTTCCCGCGTGCATCCTTCGAAGAGCTGTTGCTCAAGTCTCCTGCTGTTGGTGCTCGTGTGCTTCTTGAGCCTCTTGCTGCTGTCGCTGCTGCTCCGGAGAAGAAGAAAGACGCGGAGGAGTCGAAGGTGCAAGCAGCAGTCGACGAGTTTTCAAAGTGCGAGGTGCTACGATTGCTGACAGTGCTGCTTCGAGGCAGCAGCAAGCTACAGCAGACTAAGGAGCTGTCCACTGCCTTGCAGCATGCTTTCAAGCGCGTACAGAAGTTTCTCAAGACGGCAGTGCTGAGGCATTTGGCTCCTGAGAGTGTTCAGCAGCTGAAGGCCAAGCGTATGAAGATCGTGATGACGTTTGCTCTCCAGCTTGTGAAGATTTGGCACACGTCTGCAGACAAGAAGACAACAGAGGCAGATGTTCGTGCGGTTGTAGCAGCTGTGCAAGCTGTCGAGTCGCAGTCACCTGTCGTCAAGGGTTTGATGAAGCGAGTATCCGAAGCTGCTGGCATCCCGTTCGAGCCCACTGGTGGTGGTAATGTACACCAGAAGGTATTGGTCAAGAATGAAGACGACGACGACGACGATGTGGCGAACAAAGTCGACGAGTCGGAAGCTGCCGTGTCGATCAAGTCTGGAAAGAGCGCAGCCACGGGCCTCAAGGACAAGCACAAGTTGAAGCACAAGACGAAAAAGACGAAGCGCAAGCGCTCGTCTGCCGAGAAGTAAAAGGAAGTCGTCACGTGCTTTGAATTGAGGCTGACGATGCTGCATCGCGTCTGAACATCGTCCAGGCAGCGTCAATCGTGTCAGTCGCTGCATTTGAAAGGCGCCACCACCTATTATAGATCCTAGAGCTTTCGGTTATCGGACCTGTTCGCGTTCGTTCCATCTCCCGTCTCCATGCTCCACATACATAACAACCAACAACAAACCCACTCGTGCACACACACGTGCTAAAACATCCCTCAAGCTCCATAAACTCCGCTCCATTATGCCTCATCTCTCTCTCTCTCTTGCTTCACCACGTTATCCACTGCCCCTCGGTGTACCTGAGAGACAACCAAAACTCGAGCACAAAAGTGTCTCCCCCCAGTTCCTCTCTCTCTTCTTGGCCATCTATTGATCGACCACGCCAAGGAATACCTAACATCGTGTCCCTAGACTCGCTGCTCTAGCCACGGAACTTGCCCCACACGTGCAGCAGCACGACAAACCCCACGAACATGAGACAGCTCACTAACACTGTCGTCGGACCGATCTTCAGACCCGGCGAGTCGTCCGTGTAGAAGCGCAAGATCCCGGCCGTGCTGCCGCCCATGCCCCGTCCCGTGTTCTGGCCCGCTCGCGCTGCGGCCACTGGGCGTCGATTACGTAATCCACTGGCTGCTGCGCCTTCGGCCGATGCTGTTGGTGCCGGTTTCTTGCCAGCGAGAGCTCCATTTGATCCTGCTGTAGTCTGTTCGACAGGGGTATTAATTTAGACAGGATGGGTACATCCACATCGATAAAGACAGTGAGTGCACGACGCCAGCTCGACAAGCGCTGGAACAGAGAGAGAGAAAGCGGGGGACGCGGGATGGACACGAACGCACCATGGCGACGTCTTCTTGTGTGTCTGCGAGTGAGTTACCAGTCGGTGGTGTATTACGTGCACTAGGTCAAGCAAGTCCAGTGGGCTGGCTGCTCGTGGCGGGTCTCGGTTTCGGATTGTGGGCGTGGGCGGCAAAAATGCCACGTAGCAAACGACTGCAGAGTAAGGGAGCGCCGGATTAAGTGCGAATGGGATCGATTTTTGAGGCCGTTTTCGCAGGAAATGGTCAAGTTACGGCGGGTGGTACAGTTCCGAGCTCTTTCGATCGTTTTTGCGCTCCCTCAGAAGACTGACGAGGACGTTTGTGCGAGTGTGTAGCATTTATGAAAGGTTTCTAAACTGTGCGAACGTCTATGATGGAAATCGAATAATTTCTCGAGGACATGCTATGATCGCCTTTGAAAGGATACAAAGTCAGTGGTTGATAATAGGGCTTTCGTTTCTAGACTTATTGACGCGACACGATTTGGCCACTCGCTGTCTTCTAATTTCAAACAAGCCTAGATTTGGTCAAATGACCATTCGGCGCAACTGGTGTGGTCACCACACCAAACAGACAACGATTGATGTGCACCACACACACGCCCGTCTTTCAAGCATGACAAGCATGGCGACGGCGTTGACGCAGGCACTGGACGCGTCGTTCCCTCGCATGGCCTTCACTATGGCCTACGGATCAGGCGTGTTCCAGCAGAAGAACCACGACGCCAGTGCTAGTATGGTTGACCTCGTCTTTGCTGTGGACGATCCGCTCGCTTGGCACGACCAGAACCTCGCACGCAATCCCCACCACTATTCGGTGCTCAAGTATCTCGGAGCTGCGAACGTCGCGGCGTTTCAGGAGAACTTTGGCGCGGGTGTGTACTATAATACAATGGTATAGCTTGTACTATAGAAATAGGAGTATTAGATGAAGGATGGCACACTCGGGGGTACCAGTTGACCACGTTCTAATGGTATTTCTACTACTGCACATCTATGTATCTGGTGGTTTTGTTGGGACGGCAGGTTCCTCTCACGGGCACTTTGCTTGGGACACGACTCATCAAATATGGTGTTGTGAGCACGCGGACATTGTATGACGACTTGACGAACTGGAAGACGCTCTATCTTAGCGGCAGGATGCACAAACCTGTACGCACGTCGTCGATTACGGCTAATGAATGGATTCAGTTCGGACGTCATTGGACATGGAAAGCTCATTTATGTCGCTGGTGAGGCTCTGGTTGGTGTGCTTACTTAGGTCAGCATTCTTGCTACAAATGAGCTCATGCAAGCAGCGGCATCGACGAACTTGTCACATGCGCTGCACTACGCGCTGCTTTGTCTGCCGGAGAAGTTTTCCGAGCATGATCTGTACATGGTGCGTTTGATACGCTGCAATCTGTTCAAAGATGGACAACATCCCGGACTGTTTGTTGTCGTGAGCTAACTGAGGCTTTGGGTGCAGAAAATTGCAGGGATCTCGTACTTGGGCGACTTCCGGATGACGTTTGGTGAGAACCCGAAGAAAGTGCGCAATATCGTAGACGGTAATCTCAAGGCCTTCCAAGAGCTCTACCGTCACAAAATCCAGGTAGATATCTGATTGACATGGCCTCCTTTCTTCAGCATATGTGTCTAATCGGTCAAAACTGATGTCTGTTCGGTTCTGGAAGAGTTCTCCGTTCATGTCCCGTTCGATCTCTGGCGTCGACATGATAGTAGCCAATAGTGCAAACCCTGACGTGAGGCAATCCATTGTCGAAGCATTGCCGTCCAACGTGCGTCGACGTTTGGCTGCTAAATCACAAGCAAGTGGAGTGAATGACCATCAGACTGTCACCAAGAAGCAACTGCAGCGCGTGATTGCATCAATCGTGTTTCGGTCAAGCCGGTCGCAAAGTATCAAGGGCATTGCCACGGCAGGAGGCGTGAAGTCGATCCTGTACGTTGCGCAAAAGTTGAAGCGCACCTGGTCGAGCAAGTAATTTTGACACGGTCTGAGGTGACGAGAACCGCATTTTTAAACAGCTAAGCGAGATCGTACTCGAACAGCTAAGCGAGATCGTACTTGAACAGCATATTCAAGTTGATTCATTTATAGTCGACTGTCTTAACTACTCACGCGGTTAGCACCTTCTTCAAATTCTCCACACGATCCCTCGTCTCCTGTGCAAAAACTCTCTTCTCGTGATCGAGAGCATCAATCTGATCAATACGCTCGTCACATTTCGCAACCAGGCCAACCTCGGGCTTCTTACAAGCTGCAAGGAACTCGGGGCCGATCATGGCGAATTCCGCCAGACCTTCAGCAGCACTCTCACACAGGTCCACGTCGTCGTTCGTCACAAATGCAGCTGCTGACTGGACGTAAAAGTCCGCCTCCAGCACAGCATCCGCTGTTGAACGTGTCGTGCGGACCAAATGCCGCAAGAAAAAGAGCGACTTGCGTTGCAGTCGAATGTCCGACGCGCTTGCCACGTTCGCACGCAATAGCTCCAGCCCTTGACAGCTCTCTCCAAAAAACCTCGTCTCAGCTGCTTCATGGTGACGCACGAGACAAGAGATGCCCAGCATCGCCTTGACCCGGCAAGTAACGTCCTGGTCACTACGAGCCAAAGTGCAGAGCACCTCGAGCAGTCCACTCTCCACCGCAGCTTCTTGACAGAAGGGATTGTTCTGCACCACGACCGAGCAGACTTCAGCTGCCAGAGCACGGGACGACGGCGTCTCGTACTTCTCCATGACGTTCTTCATAACCTCCAGACCCTTCATCTTGACAAAGTTCTGCGCATTGTCAATCTGGTCGATGCGAGTCAGCAGCTCGTCCAGCAGCGCGTCTTTGTATTGCACCAGCTCCTCTTGAAACGGTTCACTGTCTTCACTTGCCTCTGGCCTCAACCCACCATCTCTTTCGGCGAAAACGACCCGGGGGTCCTCGCCCTCTAAAATGCGGAGGATGTCCCTCACGCGCTCGTTTTCGTCCATCACACCTTCGCTCATGACCATCTCGAGGAACCGCCGCTTGTCTTCGGAGATGGGCGTCGCAGGGCTCGGGATCGTGCCGTCCGTCTGCTTCATTGTCCACTTCATGAGCGCTTGCCACTTGGCTTGGTCGACTGCTGCCATGGTTCGGTCTACTGTCGTCCAAAAGGCTGGAGAAGTTGAGTAATGGAGTCGACTTTGTGGATGGCTGCGCGGCGGTTGGAAGAAAATCGGGAATAATCGAGAAAATAATCGAGGTGGGCGAGTGGGTGACTGACTGACTACCGGTTTGCGGACGGTTTAAGAGCAGCTACAGTGCGAGGACCTGGATTTCTAGGATAGCACGAAGCTTGCTGAGACTCTAGGTGAAGTCGATTGTATGAGAGGATGAGCGTTATATGTTGAAGTTAATTGGATGTACAGATTGCTCTTGGCTTTGTTCGCTGCTGCGCCCCTCATAGGTAGGCTAGAATCACCAGTACAACACTCACGTCGGTCTTTTGAGGCAGTCGAAGCTGCAGTTGTTGCACATGTGCAATTGCAAGATTGTAGTGAGTATGTCAGCTGGAAGATCTTCAGCGCTCGGGAGTCCGAATCGGAATATCAAAATGACGGAGAAAGCTCCGTGTGATGGTAGACGCAACATCCAAAACAATTGCGTTCGACTTCATGCAAATGCACGACATATACGGCTGCTGTAGTGCTTTAAATCGTGTGTACCTGTTTGCGCGAATGCCTAAAATGTCGAGATCTCTGACACTATAAAACTGGCAGACTGACGGATATCCATGTCAAACCGATTTGTTCGCAATTAATTGACCGTCTATGTCGAAAGAGACGACATCGACGGGCGTGCTTTTGCGTTTAAGCTTGCGGGAGAATTCCTCGTCACTTTTCGAATGTTCGCTGCTCTCTTTGCGATTGGGTACAGTGTGTCGATAGTACTGCCCTACAAAGGCTGCTAGACAGACCTGGAGTCTCTGTGAGATCTTCTGACGCCGCTATATTCGTCGATTCTACGCTACTTGATGAATCATGTGGAATTTTGGACGATGCCGTCAATATAAATGTAGGGTCTAGCTAGGTAGACCCCTTCTACTTACTAAGTGAACGCCTTTTGGATAAACTATGCAGTGATTATCTTATCATGCCGGTGCCCCTACATTTAGTCGTTTTCTTTACTTCCGGGAACCTTGCGATATCCCTTGAAAGCCGCAGAGCCATAGATGACACTTACGCTTCAAAGTAGTAGTGTAACGGGGCACCCTTTGTTTGGGGTGCCACGAAACTTCACGTACACTAGTACGTGCAGAGGAAGCTAATCCACTCAAACAGCTAGTTTGAGTAAAGGGTAAAAAGAGAGCTGTATTTAATATAGTTAAGCTATCAATATAACTTTAATCTTTATCTAATTATATCAAACTACGTCGTCGTATGACGACAACCTGCTCACCACTCATTACGCGCACCTAGCAGCGATTGGTGATAAACTTAATTGATCTGACTTAATCAACCAATCTTTGAGCAGCGCATAAATATTATCCAAAAGAAGAATAATATTCCTTCAATATTATTCATCTCGAATAATATATGTAGGGAACTGTCACGCTGGGCAATCTCCCTATTAACACCGTTTAGTGTCAATATCATGTAACGGGCTACCCAGTTATATCACCCTTTTTAACCATCAATCATCCGTTGATTAAATAGAATCGATTGGGACAGGGTGACCACCGTTGGATCACACTGGGAAGGGGAGCACTTGTTTGTCAAATTAAAACTCATTTGCCAATTATTCGATGGTGTCAAAGTCCATGCGATGTGCTGCCGATGCAGCAAGAAAGGCGGTTGCACGCATGTGTGCAGCCGAATAGGATTCTTCTCTTGCTTCAGCAACAGGTGATCCTTCGCCTGCTGTTGCGATTCTGCAACAGGCGATGTCTGTTGTTAATAGTCCACGTAGTGAGTCACCACGTGCGACAGAAAGATCCGCTGTGTCTGCAGCGGGTACTGCAGCTCGCAATATAGATGAGCCTGAAATGTAGCTCATCTATTCTGGCGATTCGGGTGATGCATCCGACTTGGAGGCGACACGTCACGCCTCCGGATCATCCAGGGCGGACACTGCAAGAGCCAGGTTGACTGGATCCGGGGAACGTGGCGGCATCGTGTCCGAGATCTTCGGACCGAGCGAATCGTCTGACAATTTCTCGTCTTACGCAAGTCCATCCGACAATAGGACGCGGGTGATTGTGGTGATGCTCCTATGCATCACCACGAGAGAAGCAACTCGAGAGATCGAGCTGCCACTGGTGTCAGTGCTCATGCTGACATCACTCAAGAGGCCAGGGAACGCAATGTCCTGCGCCACGATCCTCAAGTGGAGTCTCTTTGGATGCCGTCATCCAAAGAGTTGGATCGAGGCCGGCCAGCTTGGCCACCGAACGGGGTAGAATCCTGTTGTTCGACTGTATGAGGATCTGTCCTCCTGATTTTAGAACGAAAATATCCATGCTGACGAATAATTCTTCACCGATGCGTTTTTCAAGCATCGATGGTACAATTATAGCCGTGTTCGAGACGGCAAAGCCTTGGTGCAAGGATGAAATGCCTTCATCCATCACATTAAGTGCATTGGCCGTGAGGCCTGGCTCGGTTATCTTGATGCAGCTCGCATCAGGTTTGAGAAGCGTAGCCCAGTCGGTGTACGATACAAGTTGCACCGACTGTCAAAAGAGGTAGGATTACCCTGTCTCTCGTGGGGTGGTTCGTGTCTAAGTTGCCTGGAAAACTCGAATCGTGCCCTTAGGGAAGCCTCCCTCCCTAATGTTCCCTACTGGAGGGCGCGCATCTCTTCTGAGATGGCCGAAGGGATTGACACTTTGAAATTCCTGTACTCGCGTTCGTGGAAGTCGTTTTCCGACGGCCCTTCTTCGAACACAGCGTGTGGGTCTCGTCATATTTCTCGACGAGACCCTGACCATCAACAATCAGCTGGGCACGAGGCTCCTAGCTGTCCCAAGCCGGTGGTATCCACGCCAGCGGACGAGGTAACTCGTCCGGACGCCATTCACGTCGCGGCGGTTCAAGATACGCTCCACCAGAAAGCGTTGACCTCCGCCAGAATACACGAAAGGATGTGGTGGCGGCGGGAACACCTGATCCGGCTCGAGGGTCAGATCAGCTTGATGTTCAGGAACCGAACCGTATAACGGAACAGTTACACGATGACTTGGCTCATGAACGAACTCGGTACTATGAGGTCCATGACCTTGTAAATGAAAATTACAATTCCTCAGCGCACGATCGTTCGAAAGATCCTGCCGCGTTTGCGTTCGCGCAACTTGATAACGAACGTTCGGCTCGTTCTCTTCGTGACGAGGTGACTGCAGCTCGTCAGGAAATTGCTCAACTGCGTGTGCAGGTCGCTTCACTAGTCGACCAGACTGGATCATTGAAACGGGACCACTCGAAGGTGGTCTCGGCTCTCGACCGCGGAGATTCTTCGCCTCTCGAAACGGGCTTTTACTGATATTACGGGCGGAGACGTCCGATGTAAACGTAGGATGCGTACGCATCTTACGAGACAGTTCAATCATGTATGCGTTGCCCATACGGCGCAACGCACGAAATGAACCGATATACTAAGGCAGCAAGTTACTGCTGCCCACGTTTGTCACTGCGTGTTTTGGTAGATTTCCTGTAGACAGTAAAACTAAGTCTCCTATATTGAATGAAAGAACATTCGCTCTTCCGTGTTTTTCTGCGTTTCTTATCTTCTTGTCTATTGCATCTGCAATAGATTCTTGAACGAAGTGGACAACTGCTTCGCGAGTCAGCAGAAATTCCTCTGATGATTCATCCTTTTTAACAGCAGTGCGCTTCGTGTGCACTGCTGAAGGAACGTTGTCTTCACCAGTAGGGGCGTCATTGTTCTCACTGTGGCAGCCATTGGCGATGCTGAATATACCAGCATCGTTGCCATCATCGTCGCCATCATCGTCATTGATGTCGATGTGATCGACATCGGCATCCATCACGTCGACACCATTGTTGACGTGCGATGAGCAAGAACCAGATCGATTTTTGTTCGAGCGAGTCCTACCCACTCCCAAACTAGAGTCGCACTTTAAGAAAGCCGGGTAAACGGGGATGTCGTAGGCCATTCACGAAGAACGGTGTATGCGTTGTGACGCGTGCACCGAGTTGTTGATGGCGAGCTCGCCATCGGCAAGAACTCACTCCAGCTCGTAAACGAGTGAACGTACCCTCGAAGTATCTCTTCGAGGACGCGGTTGACACGTTCCGCCTGACCATCTGTTTCTGGATGGTCACAAGCCGACATCTTAAAACGTTATTTCAAGTTAACGGAACACGGATTACCAGAACTCCGCTGTGAAGCGGGGGTCCATATCAGACACGAGTTCACGGGGTAACCCGTGAAGTCGGAATATAGTATCGATGAAGACACGCGCACAGCCCTGGGCTGTGCTTGACTCCGGTACAGCAACAAAATGTACCATCTTACTGAGCCGATCAACAAGCACAAGAATACCAGTATTCTTGTGAACGTCTTTAAAAAATCTGAAGACAAAGCCCATCGATACGGACTGCCAGCACTTTGCCGGAACCGGTAGAGGCTGCAAGGGTGAAAGGGATGAAGGACTAGGCTTCACCCGTTGACAAACTTTGCAAGCGCGAATGTATTTGCGCACAAACTCATACTGGCGGGGCCAGTAGAAGTCACGATTTACCGTGAGGTAAGTCTTTTCTCTACCGCGATTCCCACTTGTTGGAGCATCGTGACACTCATACATGATGCGCAAGCGCAAATCATTATGAGCCGGAACGACGACACGAGGCGTGTCGCCGTTGACTGCTGTATAGTATAGCAGTCCATCACGAACTGAATACCGTTCGGAAGAGAGGGTTTTGAGACAAAGCTTGTCAAAGCTTGACTGCATGGATTGGATACATAATCCATCAACCGCAGAAGAGACTCATCTTCTGCGTATGCTTTTCGCACGTCGTCGAGCAGATTCTACAACGGAACACTCACTGATAGTGTTGCAACAGTGGGATCAACTCTAACGTTGGTTTATTTAGTCGGCTCTAAATCGGGCCGACACGAAAGAGCATCAGCAACTACATTAGGTCGTCCTGGTTTACACTCTACGGAAAAATTGTACTCCGCGAAGAAAGACAGCCACCTCGTCCTTCGTTGCAAGAGGTGTGGACTGTTTACGGCCGTGCGTAACGACGCATGGTCGGTATAAACGATGAAGGGCGTATCTCCTAAGAGAGATACCCGAACCTTAGCCAGTGCATGATTCATGGCAAGAAGTTCCTTGTCATGCACTGGGTAATTACGCTCAGCTGCTTGCAGCTGACGCGATTGATAATAGACTACGCGCTCAACTCCGTCTGAGTCGTACTGTATTAACCCGCAGCCGATCGCAAAATCTCTGGCGTCACAGACCACATGGAAAGGTCTGTACTAGTCTGCAATCGCCAAGATAGGCGAATGTATCAAGCTTTTCCTAATACCTATGATGAAGGGCCAACGCTAAGCACTCCATGACCACCTCTCGTTCTTCTTTTACAGACGAAAGAGATGTACGGTCATCTCGGCGTAGTTGTGCGAGTACTTGTGCAAGTACGCCGCAAGGAACTTTCGAAGTCCCTTGACGTCGACTATCACAGGCCAGTCGCTAATCGCCTTGATCTTTTCCGGATCAGGGCGTACACCGTTTTTACGCACGATGCAGCCAAGAAGAGGTATTTCGTTTGCTGAAAATACACACTTCTTGAGGTTCGCGAAAAACTTATGGTATCGCATCAGTGTAAGAACTTTCCAGATGATGTGTATTACATGAACCTCCACGTACGTCTTTATATCCACAGCCCGGCTATGGACGAAGGCATCGTCGAAATAACTCGGTGCGAAATCGCGCACCGATCGCAACAGATTCGTAACAGATCTGTTAAGCGTTGCGATGGCGTTACTTAGCCCCCGTGGCATCACTAGCCACTCCCAGAGCATACCACTGGGGGTTCTCACTGCTGTGTACGGGATGTCCCGTTCACGCATGAGGATCTTATAGAACCCATCCACCAGATCCATGGACGAAAAGATGTTACTCTTTTCCATACCATCTATGATGACGTCCTTCATGGTCGGCGATCGAGCCGGTACCGTTGCAGCGTTCAATTTTTTTGAACGCGTGCACTATACGCCACCCTCCTGTGGCCTTTCGCACACAGAAGGTCGGAGAGCTGAGTGGGGAGGTTGATTCCCTCACATAACCAGCCGCTAAGCGATCAGCAAATAGTTTTTATTGCTGTAACCTGTTCATGAGGCAGTGGACACTGCTTCATGACACAGTACTTCGAACCGGGTTGCAGTTCGATCTCATGCCGAGTGCCTTTGTCTTCAGGCATCTCGAATGGCACATATTCAGAAAAACATCCCTAAATTCGACCAAATCCTTATACAAAGGATTTGTCTGTAAAGACTCCCAAGATTGAGACGATTATCGCTCAATCCGGTTCTTCTCATCGAGGACACTCTCGTCCATCGATGAGCTACTGAGAACCCGTTCGTTCTCAGCAAACACTTGTGCCGACCGAATATCGGCAACTTACTCGTCCTCTGTGACGAGTATGCAGATCTGCTTGATCTTGTCGCTACACAGATCTCGCAAGAATCTTTTAGATTCTAGCGTTGGCAACATGATTACCTATGAAGCTGAATTCGGAGGTATAACCAGATCAAGTGTATAAGCACCTAAACTTGATCCGTCATTCACCAAGACATTCACGTGTCGGTGATTTCCTGTGGTAAAGCATCCGCAGGTGGTTGGGGATCCATACCCTCAACATAACTCTCTCGGGAGTTATCACTCTCAAAAACGTTGGAACTTTCTTCTAATACGTGTACTGACTGTGGGTGCCCTACCACAGTCACTTCCTCTTCGATCGACTCTCTGATAGTCGATCTCTCTTGAACGTGTTGTTCATCCTGAACAACAACTTTAATCTCTCTTCTTGGATGGACCCTTATTGGTGTGCATCCGTGTTCCAGTCCACTCGATCTCTTCGAGTGGTGAACCTTCGGCACAGCTTGCGTCTCTACACAGGTGCCGGAAGCTGGTTCCACAGTGTAGTGGCCTTCTACATTGTGATCTTGTGTAGTCGTACTAACGACCGTACCACAAGTGAGTCCATCGCACTCACTCGTAGTACATCCACACGCTTGTGGACGCTCCAAGACGTTTATCAGATGGCCATATGATGAACAATCGGCAGGCATGTTCACGGATCGATGCTGCCAGCTAACCCATGGCTGGAACTTTCTAAGCCATGGCAGACCAAGGATGACATCAAATTTTCATACAAATCTGATACGATGAAATCATCGTCGTACTGATTTCCTTCTAGCGTGTAGTGGATTCCCACTACACGTTGCTTCACTATTACGGATGCGCCTGTAGCAAGGCACACCGTCATCCTCGTTGGAGGGATCTCTCGCTCAACATAGTGAGTCTACTATCCTCTAGCGATTGGCGTCGAATAGAAGCGTTCGACGCCTCAGAGTCAACTAGGGCACGAAGTGACATTCCACTTGTCACTTCGATCTTCAAAGTGATGAGCGTCACCTCATCACTAGGGGCAGTAACACACAGCGATTGCGTGTTGGGAGAAATCTTCGTCAAGAGTCCTGCAAATTCTCTTGATGTTGCTGGATCATCAGGGTGCTCCGCCCCTACTGAACCTGACCGTTTTTTTGGCGGCCGACTTGCTTTCGAGGCTTAGCGACAAGGTCGGACGCACGACTTGGACCTTTCCTAGGCCAACGGCGGTTATCACGTCCTGCCTTTGGCAGTGTTGCGGTGCTTGGGACACTACACTCATAAGCGTAGTTTCCAATCTTCTGATAGCGATGGCATCTTGCCGTCTGCTTGTGACTCAGAGAGCGAGAGTTCTCGCTCTCGATGTAACAGAGGTCCATTGGCTCGGGACCTCCTGTTTCCTGTCGTCTCGACGGACAATAGTTCAAAGAGTTAGCCAGGGACTGCCTCAGGCTAAAGTCTTCTTGTTCCGCATACTCTATCGACTTTTTCCAGCGTATGGAAGTCCCCTCGGAATATATAGGTCTTGACCGGTCCATCTACAAGGCCGTAGATGAACACGTTGATGAGCGTGTGCTCATCAACAGAGTTTTCCGTGACGCTACTCACAAGGTAGCGAAAGTGTTGTGCGTAAGCGTACACTTCACGCTTACCTAGCTTGAGTCTCAGGAGTACAGAGCGTGCTTTGAACCCGGCTCGTGGCGGCTCAAACGTGTCTTTGAGCCGAGACTTAAAGATCTTTAATGACTCATACACGCTTGGGTCGTTAAGCTTGAGCCCTAAGGACCAAGGCTTTGATCGTCCTGTCAAATTTGACAGGACGAAAGTGACTTGCGTATCGTTACCCGCGATGTGACGGGCCCTGATGGCATCGTCTAACTCGATGAACCATCTCAAAAGGGAATCTTCACCGATTCCTTGTACATTGAGATGTCTATCTTTAAGGTTTCAGGGGACGCGTGTGCGTCGGCCCGTCCATCGACTGATGATAGCCTTGCTGTTGTAGCAAGGCTATCTTCCGTCTTTCGACGGCAATGTCCTCTTGTATTAACTTGTTGATAGCAGCATGTTGCTGGTATCTGCTTAGAGACCCCAACATGCCACTGATGGCGAGTTTACCCATGAGAACACTCATGCGGTCGACTATCTCCCATTCAGAGTTACTCAGATGGAAGTAGCTTTCACGCAAGACTCGAAAGCTGTCGTCTTCTACGTCCAACGTGTTCATGTTGGACGGACACTAAGTAGTCGCTTGACGGACAACGAAGTGCTACCAGGTGTAACGGGGCACCCTTTGTTTGGGGTGCCACGAAACTTCACGTACACTAGTACGTGCAGAGGAAGCTAATCCACTCAAACAGCTAGTTTGAGTAAAGGGTAAAAAGAGAACTGTATTTAATATAGTTAAGCTATCAATATAACTTTAATCTTTATCTAATTATATCAAACTACGTCGTCGTATGACGACAACCTGCTCACCACTCATTACGCGCACCTAGCAGCGATTGGTGATAAACTTGGTTGATATGTCTTTATCAACCAATCTTGGAGAAGCGCATGAGTATTATCCTAGAAGGGGACAACATCCCTTCAATATTATTCATCTCGAATAATATATGTAGGGAATTGTCACTCTAGACTATCTCCCTATTAACACCGTTTAGTGTCAATATCATGTAACGGGCTACCCTGTTACAGGTGGAGTAAAAGGGCTGGTCAATCTAGCGGATATGGATAGACATTGGTTTCTGAAAAAGCAATTTAGTTTCACAAACACCACTCTTATTTTCCTATCTACGTCCTTTCTGTAACGGGCGCCGGAGGAACACACTGGACAACACGTGTGGAGCTACGCTCACCGACAGCTATGTGAGTGGCGCCTCTATAACTCTGTTATTTTGGCAGAGGAAGGTAAAGCAATCAGGAATCTGAGTAATTGCTGGTAAAGTCAATTGTAATAAATATAATTTAGCCCCATTCACCAACCTATGTTCCAGGTCTAACTTAATTACATTTATCTGAACAAATGCATGCTAAAGTCTTGCTAACCACACGTTGCGTCCGTACATCGTTGGTTGAACCGCTGGAGCTGGCCGGTATGATGCCACATATCAGCCAATTTGTGAGTGTTTCTGTTTATTACCCCTTATGGTAATAGTCACAGACATTGCAACCTGTGTGATAATATTATAACCAAAAAGCATCGAGAATTAGTTACATGCAACAGGCTCACCCCAACAAATCAACCCCCACTTAAACGATTGTCACTTAATTACTATTATGTTGTCACCATTATACCACATCAAGGACATACAGCGCTTATTTTGGTCCTATCCATTCATTTCTAGATCTTCAATGCATGGTAAGCAACTCCATGCGATGCGCGAAGAAAGATGGTGAGAAGGCGGCTGCTCTTGGAGATGCCTAGCCTTTCGCGGTAGATGATGCTCGTTTGCTGCGGATGCAAGTCTTCCTGCAGTAGCAGTTTCTGCAGAGGCATGAGGTGAGTCACCACGTAAAACTGATGATGGCTTCCAATCGAAGCTCATCTATTCTGGGGATTCGGTCAGTGAGTTCGACTCAAAAAAGACACCTAGGTTGTACGAGTCTGCAGTGGCGGCCGAATAAGATCCTATGAATAATAATTGAGCAGGTGGTAAGAATCATGGTCACTACAAGAGTATGTTTAATCTGGAGGAGGAGCATGCTGACTCGTCCCTCGCGCTTGCTACTGCGCATTCTCCGTCTAGCGAATGCGGTGATGATTGACATCGTCATTATGACAATATTAGTAATTCTCTTATCGTATGAAACTAAATGGAAATAAACTTGATTCAACTTAAGTCCTTACAGACTTAGTGAGACACAACTCTAGATATCTAAACAAGCTCGCAAGCTTCAACTTCTGGATTAGTGAACTAACAACTTAAAGAAATTATGTAGCACTAACGCCCAGGAGTAGTAGTCTTTCTTAATATAGTCTCTTAATACTCACGTCTGGAGACGTACTATAAGACACTTGTCTGAAACTGAATAAAAAAATGGACTGCATGCATTTTTACATTTTTATAGCTATTATGAGCCTTACTTACATATATAACCTTGAAACAATGCTACCTAATCAAGTAGTCTTAATGGAGATTCTTCTTGTGTTACCACACCGATACTACGCCGTTCTGTGATATCATCTATCCGCAATCGATAAGGTACGGTATACCGCTTGGGATTTGTGATGAAATAATGCGCCTATCACTTTCTAAGACCTCTTTATGATTTTATTACAGCTAACCTGATTATCGAAACCGTTGGTGTAACCCCGTGACACAAGAAATGAAACGAACAACTTCGGCAGGTACATACGAACACTCACCTTCCTTTTGTAACTATTAACCTTTTCCAAATTACGTTAAGCACGAATGCTTTACTCCCCCTGACATTGGCATGTGTATCTCTTTCTGAGGCTCAAGCTAATCAAAAAGACCCATTCAGCGTCACAGGGCATGTTTTTGTTGCGAAGCGTACAAAGAAGCTGGTGGTAGAAAGG